CCACCTTCAGCACCAGCTGAAGAAACAGCACCCTGGCCACTTCTCAGCATCTCCAGGGAAACACCCCAGAAGCCAGGGGAAGATGCCTTCTGGGTCCTCTTAGAAAACAGCCCACACATGTGCGGTCCCTTCCCAAGAGCTTAAGAAAGCAGGTTCTGCAGGGCAAGCGAGGTCAGAGAATGTCATTTCCAGAATATGCAGCTGAGGAAGTACAACTGCACCTTCCCCTAGGAGCCAACCTGGGACAGAGGAAGTCGGGGAGCACGCCCACAGGGAGGTTATGAGAAGGCAGGCTGCCACCAGCACATCCGGGTGTTTCTGAACAATTGCAAGGCAGGAGCCGTGGAGCCCATAACTCCAGGTCTACATATTTCTCCTTCACATGAGTCTCTCCTCTACCCTTAGAGGCACCCAGGCTGTCTGAGAACCAGCTCCCCACAACTGGAGCCTATACCATATCTTAGATTTTGTCCGAGATAGACTAGAACCCCACAATTTTCTCATCTACCCGATTTGCAGGTGGACTTTAAATTCCTGAATCCCCACTCCTAAGCCCAGAACAGGCTCGCTAGTGTCTAATGAATGAAAAGAATCTATTCATCTGCTCACAATTTTCAGATTTAAGCACCTCTGTTTGGGTTTTAGCACTCAAAATATGCCAATGGTTGATTTTTCATTTAAAATCTTTTGATCCTTGTCTAGCTCTGACTAAAATCATGGCTCTAAACCCACACTGTCCAACAGACCCTTCTGCAGTGAAAATACCCTCTCTGTAGGCTGTCCAAGACAGTAGCTAGTAGCGACACGTGGCTACTAATGTAAGCTAACATAACTGAGAAACTGAATTCTTTAATAAGAGTTTCAGTTCATTTCAATTTAAATAGCAAGACATCTGGCTAGTGGCGACCATCCTGGGCAGCTCCCCAGAACTGTCCAGTTTGCTCCTTTTTACCCTCAACCTGAATGCAAATTGAGGACACGTTCTCCTTGGCTCTGAACAGCCCATTTCTCACTGAACAATGCTCTGAAGATCTTCTCGAAGCAAAAAGTCAAGTGCGTCTTCCATTTCCGAGCGCTTACTCTGTGCCTGAGAGCAGCCGTCTCGACGTGTCCCAGGAGAGGGGGGCAGGAAGCATGTCTCCAGAAAGGAAGCCAGTGCACCCAACCACTCCAGGGCGTGTGGGGTGGCAGGGGGGGGTGCACACCAGCAGGGCCACATTTATTTATATCACAAAGTGTTACAGCTGTCGGCTCTGCAGCTGAGGAGCCGCCAGGGAACTGGACAGAAGTCAGCTTTGTCCGTGTTCCCTGGCACCTACTGCTGTTGTTTAAAGGATGCCAGAAGATGGGCGGGGGGCAATAGAGGGACCTCTGGGTAGGCAGACATGCTCTAGGTGTCATTAGAAAAAAAGAAAAATTGAGTCAATTGCATGTTTGCACTCAAACTGATAAGAGTGTCATTAGGTTATTCTGGTCCAATTCTCAGTGCTCTGGGCATAGTGACAGAAGGACCATCAAATAAGCACTTTGAGAAAAGCTGGGTGTGTGGCTCTGTTCTCAGTAGAATATGGCCATAGGAATCAGATTCAGCACCAAAGCTCAGAAAAGCAAGATCACCCCCATGCTTTACATAGGCACCTAGGACCTGCTGATCAGTGACAATTTCAGTTCGCAAAAAATTGGTAGAAATGCTGTTACAAGATTGAAGCAGTGACAGTTCTGACAGCACATCCACATGCTCTGTGATAATGCACTGGGATGGAGGGACATCTCTGAAAATGTACTATAGATTGAATCTAGAATGTCCCCCACAGACCCATTTGTTAAAGGTTTAGTTCCCAGCTTGGCATTATTGGGAGGTGGTGGAATCCTGAAAAGGTGGGGCCTTGTACAAGGTCACAGGGGATGTCCCCTGAAAAGGGATAGTGGGATCTCAGCCCCATCCTCTTTTTGCTCCATGGCTATGAGGTGAAGAGCTTTGCTCCTCCATGTACTCCCACTATTATGTACGAACACACCACAGGCCCCAAAGCAATAGGGTCAACTAGCTGTGAACAGAAACTTGAAACCTCCAGAATTGTGAACTAAGATTCACCTTTTCTCTTTAAAAACTATATCAGGTGTTTGTTATAGTAACGGAAAGCCAACAGGGGAAACCCTCAGCTCTGCTACCCAGTGCCCCTTCCAGCATATTCCCTCCCCTAAATCTAATACAACCTCTCCCCTGAAAAATGAATAATTAGCATGAAAACATGGTGAATCACCAGAGACCCAGTTAAGCTAAAGAGTAATTTCTTCCAGCTGGGTAGTATGACACACCTGTAATCCCAGCAACTCAGGAGGCTGAGGCAGGAAGACTGCAAATTTGAAGCTAGCCTGAAGATACAGGGGTTACTTAACATTTGTCATGGTTTCCTTTCAAAGTTTCAACACGCTATTTTCTTTTCTATGACTAAATTGCTTACCTTCCTCATCTACCTGTGATCACATATTTGCCAGCACCACATAGGTGTCTACGCTCTTCCATGACACAACAGCAGCCTTTTGCTAAACTACTCCAAAACCCCAGTGCTGGAATAAACTGATGCACGCCCCTAAAGTACACATTTGAGCTTCACTGGCACTTTGGTAATTCAATAGAGATGGCCTCAAAACCTCCATCCTCTCTGACACAGCAATTCTAAGCCCAGGGATTGATTTGAAGGAAATAATTAAGGATGTCCGCAAGGATTTAGTCATAAGGATGTTTAATAAGGATGTTTACCCCTGCTCTTGTTAATAATTGTGAATAATTAGAAACAACCTACATGGCCCTGAAGTGGAATTAGAAGAGCCAGGGTTCAAGGACTGCCCCACAGTAAGAGACCAACAATCAATCACTTCATCAACCAAGATTAAAAATTAGAGACTTAGGATAGATGCAGATTTCGCAGGACCTGAATCAAGAGAATGGAAATGAAGAACGGCAAAAACTAAGAAAATAATTAAGGCAATGTGGGGGGACAACATGCTTCAAAAAGATTTTATTAGAGTGCACCTGAGAAGCTACAGGAACAAAGCACCCCAACATAAAGAGCAGCTGGCTCAGCATCAGACCAGAAAGAGCAGTCCCTCTGCTGGCTACAAGGCCAGGCCCCAACTTTATCCCCAGTTCCTCCCTACTATCTACCCAGAGTGCCAAGTTTAAAACTAAACCATCTTTTCCTGCACTTGCCAAATGTATTCACAACACAAAGCTTTTCCTCATCCCTTTTGTAAAAGCAAAGCAAGCTGAGCAACTTCTCTGTCAGGTGTGTTCTTAACTATCCACCTGTTCCCATCTGGAGAAATCTTGACCAGTGGACTCATGCAAATCCAGGTGAGGGTAGCTTGGCACCTCTCCCTCTAGCCATGAAAGAGCTGGAGAGTACATCAGGCAGCAGCACCTGCAGATTGCACCCAATGCCCTGGCTTACTCAGTTGCCTGCCCTTTCTTCAGCAGCCCCTACCCAGAGCAGCCCTGCTGTTTTTGACAGCTCTTCCCACATGCCTAGTACCAAGGTCACACAGTCTGGGAGCCCAGCATGGGCTTCTGGGATGTGTTCTCCAACTGCTTTTGCCCAAGTTGTGTCTGTACCAAATCCAAAGCCCACAGTAGACCTGAAGTCTGGAGAACATAGCAGAGGCATTCAGTCTTTGTTTGAAAAGACGGATTTAGCAAATGTAGGAAGAAAAAGTCCAGTCAAAAACTCAGCAACTGGAGTAAATGTTGGGTTTGGTGGTATAGAACTAGATAACAGCTGCACAAGGACTTTGAAAACTGGTTTTCCTGGAGGCAGCTCTCCTAAACAGCATGATTGTTAAAGAGCCAGCTGGTCACAAAGTTCCCTCCTGCAGGAATGCCTAAGGACCCCCCATCTACACTCCACCCTTTTCCATTAGCCTCTGCTCAATCCAGAGCAGTGGCTCTCCAGCATCTATGTGAACGCACAAGTGACACTGCCACCCCTGAAGATGCTCACACTGCTGATTAGACAATACAATCAACCCCCTCCCCCCCTCAATAGCTGTCACCTGGACCCACATGGAGGCATGATACTGAAGATTTAAGAGGGAGGAGCTGCTCACAGCCTCTCACTCTGATGGAAAAGTAACCATGGAGTGGTTATTTTATTCTCCCGTTCAGAGGAGGTGGCCAAAGAGCACCAGTCTCCTTAGTCGTCCTCCAATAGGGCTGGGCACTGAAACTCTGAACACAGCTGATGGTGCTTAATGAGAAGCCCCACCATTTCTTCTAACCCACCCCCCTGGACTGGGGAGCCAGGGTGCAACTGGACACTCTGGCCTCTACAAAACCTAAGCTCCTCTCCCAAGACACATTGTGGCATTTGCCTCAGATGGTACATGAGAGGATGACCCAATCCACACAAGTTTTGTCACTTAGGGTTCCTCCCTTATTCTTCCCTACACGCCGGCGCCTCTCAGATCCGCTTCCACAGAGGAGGCTTCAGTCCACTGCGCCTATCCTGGAGGACCCCGCTGCCCCCACGTCCCCCACCCACCACACAGAGCCCATTCCCCTCACACAACTCCGGGTTACTGTTTCCTGCATGCAGTGACGCTGGACAGACTTAAACTATCCCCAGAGTTGCCCTGAGGTCTCCTGGGGTTCCTGCGGAGTTCGGGATGCTCGGCCCCTCAGAGGCAGACGGGCTAAGTTACTTTTCGATCGGGAGGGTAAAGCCGAACCTGACAACTGGAAAGGTTCCCCCCGCACGCTGCACACTGGGACCCCCCAGGGAAGCGCCCGGCCCGGCCCCCTCCGCCTTGGGCGCCGGCCGGGACGTCAGCGGGGCCGGGACCGGGCGTCCTGCCTCCTCCCGCCTTCTCCCGGCCGCAGAGCCGCGCGCAGCGGAGACATTTAAATCGCCCCCTCGGGACCGCAGCGTGGAAGAGGCCGGAAAGGCGGCGACGGCGGCTGGCTCTGGGGCTGGCCGGGCCGGGGTCGGGGAAGCACTCACCAGCGCGTGTTGTCGTGGAAATGCTCCAGCACCGCGTAGCCAAAGAAGGAGCCGGCGGGGCCCTGGAAGCGCACGGGACGCTGCGGATCGAGGTTGTAGGCGCCCGCGGGGACTCCCGCCGCAACCAGCGTCAGGAGCAGTGCGCGGAGCCCCCCGGCGCCCCTCCGTGCCGCCGGGCTGCCCATCCCCAGCCGGCCGCCGCCCTCCCCTCTGCCCGAGAGCAGGGCGCCGAGCGCACGGGCCGCCGATGGCCAGGAGGCTCCCCGGGACTGGAGCGCTGAGCTCGGACACTGGCGGGATGCGGGCAGTGGGCCGGCACCGGAACGGTGGTTTGATCGAGCGATGAAAGCAAGCACTGGGGAGGTGGCGAGCGGGCGGCGTCCGCAGTCTGGCTGAGAAGCCTGCGCGCTGGGAGAGAGCGGGTCCCGGGCCGGGCGGCGCTGGTCTGCAGAGAGGCGCGCCCGCGGGGTGGGCGGCCCGGACAGCCCGCGGCAGGACGGCGCGCCAGTGCCCCCTGCGGGCCGCAAGTCCCCTGCTCACCGCCCTGTCAGGGAGTTAGTCCCGGGACACCCCTGGGCGTCCGGTGTGTTCCGGATCTCCTAGGCGACCCATCCCTAGCCGCTGCGTGCTCTACGGGTCCTTCCATCCCTCTCAGTTTCACACTCACATTCAGGACCAGAGCAACGCGGATGCAGGACAGGGGTCTGTTAAAACCCTGCCCATCAGCTGATCCTAATAACGTGTAGGCAACTAGCACTCAAGGAATGTCAGGTGTTAATAACCACAATTAGCCACGTGGACACCAGCAGAGCGCCCCTGCGTGCTCTACTCGGTCTCCTAAGCCAGTGATTCCCTAAACGTGGTCTCGGGACCCGCAGCACCGACATCACCTGGGAGAGAATTTGTCAGAAATGCAAATCTACAGGTCCCAATCCAGATTTGTCGAATCAGAAGCCAAGCCCAGGGGGTTGGGGGTCTTGTCTTGCACTGTGTGTACAAGCGCATGTGCGTGTGTGATTGGGATAGAATACACATGAAGTTTATCATCTTAACCAGCTGTTGTACAACCAATACCACCACCCAGCTCCAGAACGCTTTTCATTTTGCAAAGCAAACCACCCATTAAACAATAACTTCTTGGGCTGGAGCGTTGTAGCTCCGAGATAGAGTGCTTCCTCAGCGTGCAAGAGCCCCTAAGCTTGATCCCCGGCAGGGCAACATACAAACAAAGAAAAAAAAAAAACAGAAATCCCTCCCCACTCCTCCCTCCTCCCAGCCCCTGGCAATCTTCATTCTATCTTCTGTCCCTATGAATATAACTACTAAAATTTGGGATTCCTACTGAATTGACATTCCTCACTGTGAAGTTTTGCCACCCTTTCGTGCTTTCCCTACCTGTGCTCTGCTTTGGGGGGGGGGGTGTGCGGGGCGGGTCATCGGGGTAACTGAACCCAGGGACTCACTTGTGCTAAGCACACACTCTGAACTTTTTCTTTATAAATAGCCTATACAAGGCATTTCCTCATAGTGCCGAAAAGCATATTAGTACAAGGACCTTGAGATGGGGAGACGTCCCTGCATTTTCAGGGTGGGCCCAATCTAATCTTTTTCTTTTTTTAATTTTTTTTAGTTGTAGTTGGATACAATACCTTCATTTTATTTATTTATTTTTATGTGGTGCTGAGGATCCAACCCAGCACCTCGGCCGTGCTAGGTGAGCGCTTGCTCAGCAGCTGAGTCACAAACCCAGCCCCCAATCTAATCTTAAAAGCAGAAAACCTGTCCTAGCTAGAGTCAGAGATGTGAGGGTCAAAGAGATGATATATTGTGGTGTTTGAAGAGAGAGGAAGAAATCCACAAGCAAGAATGCAGGCAGCTCTAGAAGCCAGGAAAGGCAATATAATGGCCTTCTGAAGCTGCCTTACAGCTTCATAAAGAAACACACCCTTGAGACACCTTGAGTTTAGTCCAGTAAGACCCAGGTTCTGTTTCTGACCTCCAGAAATATAAGGTGTATTTTGTTGTTTTAAGCCAGTATGTTTGTGATTTTTGTTGTTATTATACTGGGGATTGAACCCAGGGGTGTTCTACTACTTAGCTATATCCCATCCTTTTTATTTCTTATTTTGAGACAGGGTCTTGCTAAATTGCTGTGGCTGGCCTCAAAGTTGCAATCTTACTGCCTCCACCTCGGTGTATCTGGGATTACAGGTGTATATCACCTCCCTGTTTCATGATAATTTATTAGAGCAGCAATGGAAAACTAATACACCAACCTTCTATGTAAAAGTGTATATGTATGTTTCTTAAGGAAAAGAATTCATAGATTTCAATAGCTTATTCAATGATAAGGCAGTTTTTAAAAGTTTAGGAACCACTGACCTAAAACACCCTGATTTCTATTTAATAAACTAATCTCATTGGTCTTTGATTTCACAAAACTGCAGCTTCCAAACCTGACTGTGTATCTGACTCTCAAGTAACCAGTTAAAAATACAGATTCATAAATACCACTCTGCATTGATTTCTAGGGATGAGACCAGGAAATCTGTATTTCATACTCCTCTCTGGAAATATGCGAAGTAATCAAATTTAAGAAACACTGTTCTACAAGAAAGAGATTCTGAATTCTGCATTGTGGTCCTAAACATATGGCACCATGATGCTGTAGGAAAATCATAGGCATCCAATGAAGAGGATTTAAATCCCACATCTGACCAGCTGTGTGAGTCAATGAAACCAAGAGACTAATAAACATAAACCTATCAGTGGGCTGCTTGGGGCAGCAATTTTTAACTGTAAAATTCTGAACATTTATTAGTTATTCATATAATCTGACATCAGCAGTAAGCTCAATATTCTAGTTGCCAGAATAAGCTTTTCTGTCTCCAGGGTGACTGGCAAGAGAGCCATTCTATTTCAAACCTGCCCAGATAAATGAAGATTTGCTTCCTGGGACTATGCCTCCTGAAAACTTGCACCTATTCCATTCTTATCCAATTTTCTCACTGAACTGACCCTTCAATGCTCTCCTTTCCTTTATAAAAATAAAGAACTAATCTGGAAACTGGCATGGTGGTGCATGCCTGTAATCCCAGCAGCAAAGGAGGCTAAGGAAGGAGGATCACAAGTTCAAAGCCAGCTGCAGCAGCTTAGCAAGACCATGTTTCAAAATTTTTTAAAAATTAAATAAAAAGGACTGGGGATGTAATTCAGTGGTTTAAGCACCCCTGGGTTCAATCCCAGGCACAACCTCCTCAAAAAAAGAAAAAACTAATCTGAAGTTTTTCTGTTAACTTCAGTGGGCATACACTAAACAGCATGCACTATTGACTCACCTATCACTAGCCTTCAGTTTCCCTAGGTACACTTGACTTCCGTGCTGATGAAGGCTGTTGAGAGCATCGTTACCACAACAGGGCAAAAATAATGGTTTTGAAACAGGAGCTCCCTCCCCACCCCAGAGCAGAAAGGAATATCGAAATGACTAGGGACGGAAACAATGTTGGTTTGTCATAAGCCTTGAAAAAAAACCTTAAGGTTAATTGGCCTATTTTTTAATCCTTTATTTCTTTTTCTTCTTTTTTCCCCCTTGCTTATAAATTGATCAATTCTTATTTTCTTCTTTTTCTTTTTTTTTAATTTTTTATTGTTGGTTGTTCAAAACATTACATAGTTCTTGACATAGCATATTTCACACTTTGATTCAAGTGGGTTATGAACTCCCATTTTTACCCCATATACAGATTGCAGAATCACATCAGTTACACATCCATTGATTTACATATTGCCATACTAGTGTCTGTTGTGTTCTGCTGCCTTTCCTATCCTCTACTATCCCCCCTCCCCTCCCCTCCCCTCTTCTCTCTCTACCCCCTGTACTGTCATTCATTTCTCCCCCTTGTATTATTTTTCCCTTTCCCCTCACTTCCTCTTGTATATACTTTTGTATAACCCTGAGGGTCTCCTTCCATTTCCATGCAATTTCCCTTCTCTCTCCCTTTTCCCTCCCACCTCTCATCCCTGTTTAATGTTAATCTTCTTCTCCTGCTCTTCGTCCCTACTCTGTTCTTAGTTACTCTCCTTATATCAAAGAAGACATTTGGCATTTGTTTTTTAGGGATTGGCTAGCTTCACTTAGCATAATCTGCTCTAATGCCATCCATTTCCCTGCAAATTCTATGATTTTGTCATTTTTTAATGCAGAGTAATACTCCATTGTGTATAAATGCCACATTTTTTTTTATCCATTCGTCTATTGAAGGGCATCTGGGTTGGTTCCACAGTCTTGCTATTGTGAATTGAGCTGCTATGAACATCGATGTAGCAGTGTCCCTGTAGCATGCTCTTTTTAGGTCTTTAGGGAATAGACCGAGAAGGGGAATAGCTGGGTCAAATGGTGGTTCCATTCCCAGCTTTCCAAG